AAGGATCCACCTGTAACAGCACCATTTTCCTTGCCTCATTGTCCCCGTGGCTGCCATTTTCCCTCCTCTCAATAGGTTCTCTGGTATAAGTAGTTCATCTGAATTCATGGCTTTCATTTTGTTTGAAAAAATAAGGCTCCAGACGTTCTTGCTGTGGATATACTAAGGGGAAGGTGAACCCCTTTTTCTCTGCAATGAAAACGGCTAGAGACTTTTCATGAAAAAATAAAAACTGGGAATTCAGAGGAACCAGTAAATCATAGCAATGTGTTATAGCCAATGTTCCCTCCAAGCTGTGAAGTCTTGTGAGCAAAAATTCTATTTTGTGAGCTACTGGCACTAAAGTTGTGAGTGAGCGATTTGGTTATTGCATGCATCAGTGTGCTCTGGAGCCATCCTTCTTGAGCAAAGACAAAAATGTGTGAGCCGGAGGCTAAAAAACTGTAAGCTAGCTCACACTAACTCAGCTTAGAGGGAACAGTGGCTATAGCAATTAGAATTTTTAAGGACTCTGGCTGCACATCAGTCACAGCCAATGTTCCCTCTAAGCTGAGTTAGTCTGAGCTAGCTCACAGTTTTTTAGCCTCCAGCTCACACATTCTTGTCTTAGCTCAGGAAGGATGGCTCCAGAGCAAACTAATTTATGCAGTAGCCAAATCGCTCGCTCGCGACTTTAATGCCAGTAGCTCACAAAAGTAGAATTTTTTGCTCACAAGACTCCACACCTTAGAGGGAGCATTGATCACAGCAATAGATTTTTATAGCCAGTTTGGTGTACTGGTTAAGTGTGCGGACTGTAATCTGGGAGAACCGGGTTTGAGTCCCCACTCCTCCACTTGCACCTGCTGATGTGACCTTGGGGCAGTCACAAGCTCTGGCACAGCTGTTCCTGAAAGAGCAGTTTGTGTCAGAGTTCTCTCAGCCCCACCCACCTCACAGGGTGTCTGTTGTGGGGAGGGGAAGGGAAAGGAGTCTGTAAGCCGCTCTGAGACTCCAAGTGAAGGGTGGGGTATAAATCCAATCTCATCTCATCATCATCATAAGTGTTCATCTCTGATAGTGATTAGTCAATTACAAATTAGGGGGGGAACCTGAGGTAATATGTGGAGAAGTTGTAATCCCAGGGGGTGGAGACAAGGAAACTGTGAGGAAAACTGCTGTCTGGGTGCTCTGGCTTCACAGGGGTATTGAAGGCATCGTGGAGAATTGTTGCCAGGGAAACAACCATTGAGTCCCTGGCAGGTAAAACAACTGTGGGGAGAAGAGCAAGAGGGTAGAAGGGGGACCCAATTTAAGGGTTCTTTTCCAGATCAGAGAAGGGAAGGGGAGGAGGGCACCTCTGCATGTCTCATCCAGAGGTTTGTCCAGAATACTCAGCCCTCCTTTAATTCAAATTCAATACAAGAATTTATTTATTTTTATATAACATTTCTACACTGCTTCTACAAGAAACTGTTCAAGGCAGAAAATCATTTGTGGAACAACTCCAGAGCTGTTACCACCAGAAGTAAATGACATGCTACATTTTTCTCCCAGCATTCTTAAAGAGAATCAAGGCAGTGAAGATGGGGTCTCTGGTGGCCTTCCAGGCAGGTACTGGGCATAAACCAAGACCTTAAAAAATCTGTGTGCATAACTAATAACCCATAAGTAACTATATTTAATAATATAATGATATATCTCTCCTCTCTCCTTATATATAATTGAGTAGTGGGTGCCAAAGTTCTAAATTCTAAAATGCCCGCCTTTAGTGTAAGGCCGGAAAAACTGCCACTCAGACACTGGCTGGGTTGACTGGCTGCTTTGTGCAGTCCCGCCCAACATTCCAAGGTTATTTGCATATGGAAGCTGATTGGACAACACTCCATTCCACACCTCAAACTCACCCCCCCCCACAAGGCAGTTGGGATTTTTAGTTGCATCATACCTCATAGGGGAGAGGAGAATGATGTCAGCTGCCCTTTCCCTAGGCAGAGGCTGTGGGGGGGGGGAGGTTTATAAAACTTAAGACAGAGAGGCAGATAATGGTTGGCTGCTGGTTGCCAGGAAAGGACATCGGGTTGCCAACTCCAGGTAGGAAACTGCCAGGATATTTTAGGGATGAAGCCTACTGAGGGTGGGGTCTGAGGAGGAGGAGGAAGAGAGGGACCTCAGACAGATACAATGCCATACTGCCCACACTCCAGAAAAGCTGTTGCCAGTCTCCAGGTGACAGCTGGAGACATCTTAACGC